ACACACAAATATGTATATATATATTTTTATATACGTATACACACACACACACACACACACACACACACACACATATATATATATATATATATATACACACACATATCTATACACATACACATACATACATAATACATACATATATATTATATATATACATATATAATACATATACATACACAACTTGTATATATATATACATACACACACACACACACACACACACACACACACACACACATATATATATATATATATATATATATATATATATGTATGTGTGTGTACATATATATATACATTTATGTATTCATATGTACACATACATACATATATATATATATATTTTTACATATTTATATGTATGTATATATATATATATATATATATATATATATATCTGAATGTGATGTGTGTGTGTATGTGTGTGTGTGTGTTTGTGTGTGTTTTGTGTGTGTATGTATTTATACATGCACACACACACGCACACACATATATACATATATATGCATATATATATATATATTATATATATATATATATATATATATATATATATATATGTGTGTGTGTGTGTGTGTGTGTGTGTGTGTGTGTGTGTGTGTGTGTATGTGTGTGTGTATATGTGTATATATATATATATATATGTATGTATATATACAGTTCAGAGTAACCAACATTAGGAAAGCTTTAACCCTCGAATTCTTTGCATTATATTGCCATTTTTAATGTTTGAACTACCTTATGGATTAATGATCTTATAGTATCGGTTTTATGTCATCGATGGTGTTTTCTCCTTTGATTTTCCTAGATTATAAGACTTATGTTCAAAATGATAAAAGAAAACATTATTCCTGAGAATAAAAAAAAGAAAAGAGAAAATGTCAGCAAATAAATGTGAGAAAACCCGAGAGATAATGAGAAGAAAGATAAGAAGCCGATTCTAAAATCCCCATCTGAGTTTTTACCCAAAATGTGACGTCATCGTGTTCTAACGGGGTCGAGGATCTCGCCCTTTTCTTCCCACTGCTGAAAATACACTAATTGGCACCTCCAAGGATATTCGCTGCCAGACGCACGGTGCACGATAAGAACAAGGGTTTAAGAAGAATACCGGTGTTAGTGTTATCATTGTTAATTACAATAGTATCATTATTTGGTATTAAAAAACAACAACATTGGGAGGAAATAGGATTACCATTTGGTTAATGATGTTGAAATGGGGAAAGCTGAAACTGATATTATAGTTTTGTTATTAAAAGCAATTGTGTTTATGATTGTATTTGACAGTTTATTTTTGACACGAAAAGCGCTTGTAAGAAGCCATATTATATAATTATTAATGAACTTAATGATGGTAATCTGAATGAATGGCAACCGTAAATAGAGGCGATGAGATGGCAACACTCGACACATCCCGGACCCTCACTCGCACAGTCAGCGTCTCGCAAGACGTTGGGTAACAGGGTATGGACACGCTTCTTCGGCGGTGGCGGCAATTACGCTGAGGTGGCGCTCTGGTTTTGAGAATGAAGCCATCTGACATTTGCACTCTGCTGCACGTGAATCTTTGGTGGGCGCTCGCAGTTTGTATTTCGTTTTCACGCGGGGAAGACGCCGCCGCGAATCCACTGCTGCGTTCCTTGGAATGCAGTCAGGAGGAAACGCATTCGTGCAGGCAAGGAAATGTTACCTCGACGTCTTGGTTTGGAAGAGGATGCTTCTGCGACGACCTCTGTGGCGAGTATGGAGACTGCTGCTACGACGCGGAAAAGGACGTTGATCTCGGACCTGCATCTGAGGCTGGGAGGCACCGCTGTGTCTCCCTTGTGAGGGACAAGGGCCGGTACATGCGAGCGTCCTGTCCCTCTGGCTGGGTGGACGAGGAGGTCGCGGCGCTGTGTCGGGCAGCTTCACCGGAACAAATGTCGTTCCGAGAAGACCCGCTGCTTCACGTGCCGGTCACCAGTAGAACGAGTAACGTGACGTACGCGAACTACCAGTGCGCAGTATGCCATAGCGATACGCATGACGTGGTCTTTTGGAACGTCGACTTGAAGTGCCCCTCACTTATAGGCCCTAGCGAGGTTGAGGTGAATGCGTCGCCAGGTGACCTAGTGTTTCGAGAGGGCCAGTGGGGAGTGGTCGTAAATGGCAGTGAGCAAGTGCACATATGTTACCTGGAACTATCCCTCGGAAACATTTGGAAATTCCCCGGGAGATCGTGCAGACTTGTTGTGGACAAGTGCATGGAAAATTGGGACGATGAACGAGAAAAACTTTGTCATTCATACACATCTCACGTATACATAAATGGGGAAGTTTACAAGAATAGTTTTTGTGCTACTTGCAACAATGCGTCCAGTACCAATGGAGTTTGTGAGCCCTGGAATTACTCTTATCCTGTATTCAGGTCCAGCTTCCCTAAGCCTTTTACAATACTGATAGATTTCACGTGCAGAAACGGTAATAACAATGTTGGAGAAAGATGTGTATTTGA